TGGGCAGATGTGCTGGGAATTGAAGTAGAGGATCTCGGTTGTTCAGCTAAGCATGCATTTTTTTCTTGCGACCCTGTAATTTCCTAATGAGGCAACCTCTCCAGGACTTTCCCCAATATCTGCCTTCTCCAGTTAGGTGACAGGATTGTAGAGAGAAACCCTAATTTTAATTAGAATCCAGCTCCCTGAGTTCAGAGTCAGTGTTCATGCAGGAATGTGAAATGCCTTTTACGTGACTAAGACCTCTTCCCTGAATAGTCAGGACTTTTCCGTGAATGGATAGGATTTTATTATACAAGATGTTCAAATAAGTCAGGAAAAATTCCTTTGAAAATTGCTGCCAAGATGAAATCCTCCAAATGTTCCAGTCAAAAGTACATTCGCTGCTAAGAGTAAAAGCAACAAAGTTCATTTGTTGGTAGCTTCCTTGATATTTGAATTATATCCTCTGCATTCTCCAAATCCTAGTTAACATTTTCTTCAATCTGACCATTTTACTCTTCAAATAAAAAATTTTAATCTACATATAACAGTAACACTGATGCATGTCTTTTGCCTTATTCTATAATGAAATTATAGATGCAAAGAAGCACATTTCACTTCTGGTCACTTGGAAAGTAACCTTTTGGAGGGCCTGATAAGTTTTATTTCTTATGTCATTTTGCGATAATCATCAGTTTAACTCTGTTAAATACCAAATGGCACTTTGAGCCTGCAAGTCTGCCAGAAAACTACATTCAATTCCTAATTTCTTTTGTGATCTTGAATAACTTGACCTGTTTCACTAGCCTTCTGGTTGTTTGATATGAAGCATATTTGGTTATTTTCTACTCTTGTTGAAGGTAAACTCATCATTTCTTTCAAAAAATGTGTTACATGATCGCTCAACTCATGAAAGAAAATTAGGTTTTTTAAGATTAAAGTGCTGTCATGAACCACAATTCTTGTGCCGTTTGGATCAAGCCTCAAGTTTAGGCAAAAGTACATTAAGCTTACTCTTTCCTTCTTGACGGCCCTCCCTGTACCCCACTTCCATCCCCACCAGAGATCCATCAACCCTCACAACAGCCCTATGAAGTAGATGTTATTAATTCCATTTTATAAATGATGAAACTGAGACTCAAGGAGTGTAAACATCACACCCTAGATCATGAAACTATTCAGTGGCAGAGGCAGGGGTAAAGCTACCTCATCCAATCTTCTTCACCTAAAGCATGGCTTTCTTAATATTCCTATATTTTTCTCTCCTTAAAGGTTTTCCTCTTGACATTCAACTCAGAATACTTACACAGCACCAGAAGTGAGAGGATAGAATTCTGAAAAAGAAATGACAAATAGGAGAAATGACCAAATCATATATAAGCCATAATCTTCACCCATCCTTTTCTTATTTTCTCAAAACTACTTGACAGTGGATAGTCCACCCCCTGTGTATGAATAGGACTTTCCAGCAAGCCAGTTGCTGGGCATGAATAGCAACTCTACCAATCCAAGGGTAATGTGGTTAGTGTTCTGAAGGTTCAAGTGAGCTTCCCTCTGCCCCAATAAGAGACGAGTGGTCCTAGAATTCAAGTGGTTGCTTTTGATCAATCATTGCCTTTGAATGGTGGCTACTCCTCATTCTATACAACTCCAAGATCATTCACACAAAATCCAGTGTAAGGATTGATTAAATCAGCATCACTGTAAACAGGGAAGGGAGAGACAAGGCTGAAATTTGGATTCCAGATGCTACAAAGATGTTTTAGAGTGTTCTGCTCACTCCCTGCAATGAGATTTCACAAAAACAGTTTTGGTTTCACAGTAACAGCCCATAGCATATTTGAGGGAGAAAATACAGAACAGGAAAGGAACCAGGCCTCACATAACTTCAGATACTGAAGTGTGACATTAAGTGACAGTGTAACCTCTGGACAGTCTGTTTCACTTGCATACGAGAACCATAGTACCAAAGGTCAGGCTAAGATGCATCCAGAGGGGTCTCAGCAGCCATCAAGCAGTCATCCTGGACCAAGCGCACCAAAGAAACGCTTTCCACAGATCCCTGCGGGTCTGCGCCAGAGTCCCTGCCAACCCAGAGTAAGATCAGGACGTAAGAGCCACGCAGCCCATGCTCTCAGGTTGTTGATGCAAGACTACAGCTGCTTCTTCTGGGAAGGAGTGCTCTTTGTAGTGGGATGATAACAGTTCTCAAATGTTTGGTGTTAAACTATCTTCTTTTTGAAATAACGAGGAGAGTAGACTCTAGCATTTTTTCTTAATGTCCTTACTTAACTAAATTATAAGTTGGCCATTGTTACGGGTTGAATTAATTCTCCCAAAAGATGTTGACGTCCTCATCCCCAGTACCTGGGAATGTGACCCTATTTGGAAATGGAGGCTTTGCAGGTGACCAAGTTAAAATGAGCGCATTAGAGCAGGGGGTGGGCCCTATCCAATATGACTGAGTCCTCAGGAAAGAGGAAATTTGGACACCGAGACAGACACATACAAAGGGAAGATTAGATGAAGACACTCGGAGAATGCCATCTACAAGCCAGGGAATGCCCAAGAATGCAGGCATGCCCCTAGAAGCTAAGAGAGGTATGGAACAGATTCCTTCTCACAGGCCTCAGAAGGAACCAAATGTGCTGACACCTTGATCTCAGACTTCCAGAACCAGGAGACAATAAATTTTTGTTGTTTAAGCCTCTTAGTTTGTGGTAATTTGTTATGGCAGCCCTAGAAAACTAATACAGCCACCCTAGGTCAATTGCCTATTTTTGTTTTTATTTTGTTTTTCTTTCTGAAATTTTACTAGTTCTTGAAATTCCTGAGTCTGGGAACCCTTAAACTAGATGACATTAGGTCCCATCCTATCCTGAGATTTTGTGAAATTTTATACTGTGGAATCTCTTTTCCAAGTTTACTGATTAGTCATCAGGGTGCCAACAGGACTCGAGCCTTCCAGATTCTCTTTAAAATTGGCAGAGTGTAGACGGGAGCCACATTTAGGTATTTCAGAGCCAAACCTGAGAAAATATCTCACTGGATATGACTTGAAGCCCTAGACATAGATGCTGGATCTCTTTCCCTCTAGTTTGTGGAGAAGTAAAACTCCAGGTGCTCCTGGTACAACATGTAATGATCAAACGCTCTTCTGTCCACGGATCTGATGAGGGTGCATGTTTCTCAGGAGGTTAGAGATAGGGGTCCGAAGGCTGTGGAACACCTCTTCCGTTTTCTGTTTGGTTCATCAAACAGTCCTCAGCCCTCATTGGTCTTGGGGACTCTTTCTCCTTTCCTTTCTTCTCCTAGGCAAGCTACACAAGAGGAGGTTAGGGACAAAGGGGTACAATCTACCAGATCACGCCTGGTGAGTGCCACATTTCCATTGCTCAGGTGGGTTTGAAAAGAATCTGGGAATTCACTCACTCATTTATTCATTCATGCATTTATTCAGTGGACAGTGCAAAAAAGAGGAGACCCAGTGACATCAATCTCTTCTGTGTATTAGATTGCTACAAAGTGACTACAATTATAATAACTACCATGTGTCAAGAACCTCTATTCTCATTTATAGATGACAACCTTTGGGCTCAAATAACTGAACTCACCCGTGATCCCACAGCTGATGAATGCAGCAGCTTGGCCTCAGTCCTCTGTGACTCCCATGTCTGTGCTCTCTCCACTGTATCAAGCTGCCTACCCATACAACCAACCGAACTGGTATATACACACCATAGTATTATTAGACAAGCTCCCGTTCAGGAGCTCCTTTCTCCCAGTCCCTCCTTGATCCGGCCAAGCTCCATCACCTCACCAAAGCCTGATTAAAAACTAACCTGCTCCAGGATGACTTCCAGACTTCCTTGTTTCCATCTTTACTCAGTCAATCCTTCAGCACCTAGATTTTAAAACGTGCAGTTTCTGTTTGTTTTGCATTTATTGAAATGCTGTGCTGTTATTGATTTCAGTATGTTCCTATATTTAATTTTTCTCTCTCTGAAAGATTATCAGCTCTTCAAAGGAAAATACTTCATCTCCCAGTTTCTAATGCTAAGGAGCTGTACAGCCTTGGTTATATCACTTAAACTATTTGAACTTGCATGTCATTATTGAATAAAAAGGTGGGAAGATGCTGTCTACAGGTATTTCTTACCCCATAGTGTGCATTTAGTGTCTCCCAAGCATCCCAGGACTTTGCTGGCTCTAGGAAGTACCCAGTTGAGGTTTATGGCCTAGTCTACTCATGTGAGGGCTACTCTGGTCTTATCAAAGCAGACTTCCCCCACATCCCTGCTGGGCAACCCAGGCCAACACTACTAGGTGTGGACTCAGGTAATCCGCACTGCTGCCCATCTTAGTCTTCCTATATTTCTCCTTCTCCCTTTCACTTGACATTCAGCCATAAATGCAGCTCCAGACCAAGATGGTAGATTTTTCTTGACATCCTCCTCATCTTTACAGATGCCACCATTCCCTCTTCCTAAAGTACTCTTACACTTCCTGTCCCTTGGTCAATTCTTGTTCCTTTAAGACTTGGTCATTCCTTACCTCCTTGGTGAAGTCTTCCCTGACCATCAATTTGCATCAGAGTGTGTGGCACTGCTACAGCTTGTTCCAGTACCAACCTCTCTGCATTTTAACTACGTCGTGTAGAGTGGTTATGAGCATAGTGTCTTGGTTTCATACTGCCTCAGTTTATAATCATCACTATGCCACTTACTAGCTATGTACATGGGAAAATTATTTCTCTGTACCTCAGTTTCCTCATCTGTCAAATGAAGATACTAATGGCGCTTATCTCCTAGTGTTTTTTTGAGCAGTGAATGAGTTAATGCAAAAAAATCACATAGAATAGTGCACATATTGTAGAGTTAACACTACCCAGTAATACCATCTCATGTTCCTTTTTCCCTCTATGATTTCGAATAAGAAGAGAATTATTTTGTTATAACATCAGAGTTGTAAAGTTTTAAGAGCTCTGCTTTTTCATCCCCTCTCTTAATTGTCTCCCCTTTCATTATCTACTTCCCATCTCAGGATACTCTCTTTCTTGAATTTTCTGAGGTAATAATGCTCACCTGTACCTCAACCTGATGCTTGAAGAATTCTCCAAGAATTGGACCACTGCTGCTCAAAGGGACAGGATTGAATTTGTTCCTCGAAATATTAAGAGGCATAATATATGTGAAAATGCCCAAGGAAGGATATGGCCCAGCAAGAGTGTGTGGATACATGCAAAGAATGTTTATTAAACACCTGCTCTGTACCTCACATGTGCCACCGGATCCTGGGGATAAAGTCCCTGCCTTCACATTGTTTGCTGTTTAGTGGGAGACACAGACAATTATGCCCACAACTGGGATGCAATGTGATGAGCTGTGATGAAGGGAGGAAACCAGAGGCTATGGTAACGCACATAGTATATACAATTCACTCCAAGAAAAGGAGAAGCACTCCCAAAGAAACGGCACCCAGGCTGAGTCTTAACGAATGAACTGAAATTGATCAGCCTTGGAAGAGGAGAAGAATCTCCCAGGCTAAAGGAGAACCATGTGGGAGAAGCCACAGAAGCATGGAGCACGATTGTGCTTTGGAGCAACTGCCAGAACTTCTAAGGGGTAGAGGGCTAGGAAGAGATAAGCAAGGGTCAGATTTTAAAGGGCTTTCATGCTTTTTCCCAGATTTTACCCTACAGGCAATGGGGAGTGCTTCAAGAGTTTTAAACAGGAAACAAGACCAGATCTGCGTTTTTCTGTGTGAAGGATAATTTGCAGAGGACTGCAGTAGAAGCAGAAAGCAGTTTGTAAGGTTACTGCAACAACCCCATGAAAAATGCTAAGGACCTGAACTAAGGGATGTGGATGAAAAGCCTGGAGAAGACATAGCTGAAAAAATAACCAAGAAGAGAAAATACATAAAGTTCACATCAATTGTTTGGGGGCTGTAACTGTACATCTTTCAGTGATTCAGTATTAGACTCTTCAACATTTCAACAGACTCGCTAGATACAGGGACAGTAATGGCAGGAAATTTAAGTACATCCAAAGTGATCTTTGAGTAGGAAGGACTTTGAGGACATCTTGTCCACATCTCAGTGGCAGCAGCCTTTCCCTTGGAGGTGCAGCCTTGGTTGCAAAATTAATCCAGAGCTACCAATTTTCTCTCTAATTTTCTTTAGCATGGTTCTTTAGATACAAAGCCTGTTTCAGATTAACTTTAATTTTATTTCTTATCTTACAGACCTCTGTCCCTATTTCTCTGCTGGATCACTGCCAAACCCCAAGCTCCTATCCTGGACAGTAAGTGTTTCCTTCTTTGTTGGCAGGCAGGCTGCAGGAGTTGGGGAGAGGCGTATTTTCTGCTATATATACACCATGGCTGGACCTTGAAGGATGGCTGCTTTGTCTTCTCGTTCTGCCTGTCAGCCTCTTTTATTGTGCAGGAACCAATGACCAAGTGTTCACAGCTCTAACCGAGTGACAGGAAATATAGATTGAACCACCAGAGATTACATTTTTATTCTTTTATATGCCTTTTGCTGAAAAAAAAATCTATTTTGTAACTGTAAATGTATTGAATTGAGGAAGTAAAGACACTGTGAACACAATGTGCTAAGCTTTTCTTATAAGATTCTATCTGTTTCCTGTCGGAGGTGAGACACGAAATGTAATGCAGGCAGTTTGGTGCCTACATTAACACAGGAATTGCCTTTCAGCTCTGTATTTCAATTTCAAGGTGGTAGAGGAGCGAGGGAGGCAAGCACAGCATTCTGCAGGGGACCACTGCCATATGGGATTTTGTGCACTCCACGAAGAATGTCAAGCTCTTACTGGGAGGTGATTGTAATACGTGAACCAGTTTATCGTGGACAAATCTTTCCAAGCCCAAGTGACAAAGTGGTGAGGACCTGGACTTGATCATTTTGATATTTGACTATTTATTGCAAATATGTATGTCAGACCGGTGGAAGGAAACAGGTAGGACAGCTTAGACACACTGTAAGGGTATACACAAGGAATACAGTTTAGTGAAGTTTGAATGGACTCCTTCTTGGAGAAAGAGTGACATATGTGATGAGACTGATGCCCAACCTCCCGGGAAAGATTTACAAACAAAACTGAGAGAAAAGGACCGATAGTCTCCTAGGCGATCCCTGGAGATCTTGCTCGGAGCTGGGGGGCTTCAGTGCTGGGCTGAAACGTGGGACACTGGCAGATGGTGATATTTGGAGAAGACTGCTTTTGGAGTGTGGTGGCCTTTTGTCTTGTTATGCAAATGCCCACAGACCTAAGTGGACTTTAAATTCCCAAAGGAGGACTGGGGGAGCAGTAAGAAAATACATAGACCTCGGCATTGATACTATATGGACGTGTGTCATGCAGAACAGGTCCCGTGAAATGTGTTGGTTCTAATCAAGAGTTTCTTTGGGCTTTTCCAGATGTCTTGTTGAAAAAGAGACAGATTCAATAAAAATACTATCACTCACAAAATTGAGTAGGTATTATAGTGAGAAGCAGAAATCAGAGGTATCCATTGTCTATTAGTGTTGTGCCAGTTCCCAAGACCGATATTTGCAGTCATTGGTTTATCTAACTTTTTTTGAATACTTATTATGTGCCAGACTCTGTGCTAGCATGGTGATTAAAGATGGGCAACAGGCAGTTCTGACCTTTAAAGAACTTATATTTCAAGATGTATGTGAGTATGGCTATTCAATCTAGGGGAATCTGAGAAAATTTTCACTTCAAAGGCAAAATCTTTTAAAAAAAATCATGAAAGCAAGTATGTACCTACCACATATAGCATTGGCAGTATGCAGGAAAGGGGACAACATTCAATCTTCTGTGTCTTCGTCCCAAGCCTAATTTTGGATTTTGAATCTAATCTAATCTACTGAAAAGGACTTTAGCCACAAAAGGGATGGGGGAAATAAAGAGAAAAACAAATATATTGTACTTCAAAAAGGCAAAACCTAAATCAAAGCACAGAGCTGAGATCTGAGGAGAAAATGGAGACCATACAACCTCTATGTGACTTCCCCTCCCTCACACACAGTGTTAAGCCAGATGATGTAAGAAATATGTTATTACTGACAGTAAAGCTGTAGACTTGTCATCAGATAAAATACTCTCCATCAAAGAAAAATCACTTTCATAGAAGAAAATCCTGGAATATACAGAAATTAATCACCACAAAATAACAACCGAGTGAGAAAAGGAAGGAAACGGGCCCATAAGTCAATTTTCTAAATAATAATAATGAAATGCTTAAATGAAGAGAATAAGACAAATGTATAGTAGACTCTGCAACACTGAAAGGAGAATAAGACTGCCAGGCCCTTCTTTCAGCTGTGCCAACAAAGTAGTAGACTGGAGGAGCCTGAGTGGAGGGCTGTCAATCATTCCCTGTGGTTCACCAAGCTTTGTTGAGAACCTACTGTGTGCCTGGTAGTGGGCCTCACGAAGTGGGCAGTACAAAGCTGAGTATCCTTAGGACATAATGAAAACACACCTCAGTTTAATGGAAAAGCAAACAGTGCTCAGCTACAATGGTGACGTTCAGCCTGTGGTAAGCGCTAGAATCAAGGGTAGGAACCCAAGAAATCTAACAGATTTGGAAAGAAAAGAAGGAGCAGCCTTTATTGATGATGAGTAAATATTTCACAGAAGAGGATGAGACACAGTGATGAAGTCCAGAAAGAGATGGCAGGTGAGCAACAAGAATGGCATACATAAAGGCACAGGGGTGGGAAAGTGCGGGGAATGTTCTGGAAACGGTAGAAAGTTCTGTGTAGCTGTTTGAGGGACAAAGCACAGCTGACTTGTGGACTGAAGACCATATTTAGCACATAAAGGATTTAGAACTTAAACCTATTGGCAAGTGGCAGTTAGAGAATCAGAGGGTGGCATATTGAGCTTAAGGAAAGAAAAATAATTGTAGTATATATGTAGTGGGTTGAATGGTGGCTCCCCAAAAGATACATCCATGTCCTAATTCCTAAAACCTATGAATATTACCTTGTTTGGAAAATGGCTTTTTGCAGATGTCCTTAAGTTAAGGATTTCGAGATGAAAAGATGATGCTGGATTATCTGGATGGGTCCTAGATCCGATGACAAATATCTTTATAAGAGAAAGGTAGAGGATATCTGAGACAGACACAGAGAAGGTGACGGGGAGACAGAGACAGAGTCTGGAGTGTTGTGCTGCAAGCCAAGGAACAAGGTCAAGGAATGCCTACAGCCATTAGAAGAGGATGCTCTCCTAGAGCCTTTGGAGGGAGGTTGGCCCGGCTGACACCTTAATTTCAGACTTCTAGTTTCCAGAACTGGGAAAGAATAATTTTCTGTAGTTTTAAGTAACCCAGGTTGTGATAATTTGTTGGGGCAGCCTTGGGAAACTACCACAACACCTCAAAAGTAATCATTACAAGTGGAATAGGAATGACTAGCATAAAGTACAATGCCTTTCAGTATGCAAATCCCTTTTATACAAATTATCTTATCTTATTTTCATGATAAAATAATGAGGTGGTACTGTTACTTCCCCACATTTTATTATTGGACCTGCGCTTCAAAGGAATAAAATCACTTTTTAAGGTGTCCAGTTTCTACCCCCGACTCTCTTTTTCCTGCTAACCAATGTTGCGGTAGTAAAGAATCATGGTCCTCACGGCCACCACTCCTCCCCATCCACACGTAATTGATGGTTGCAGGTGCATCCAAGTCGCTCTCGCAGTCCTGTGCTGGGGAATAGGCCAGAGGAGGAGGGAAAGAGAGGGAGGGACCCGAAAGGGACCAAGATTAGGAGATTCTAAATAAGGATAAAAAGGGTAGGGTGGCCTTCTTCAACTTTTCTATAGAGAGTATCACTCCAATACTGAGTAAGATTTTTAAACACCTTAAATCTCTGTTTCCTAGTCTATAAAATAGGCATAATAATCTCTAATTGGGTTAGTTTATGGATTAAATGAACTATCCTTTTAAAAAACAACAACTTTGAAAACTATGGGGACACTGCATGAATGTTCATTATAATTATCAGGGTATAAATGTGAAAGCGGAGTGGCGTGGTGCTCTGATTCGGACCTGACTGTGCTTTAGTATCACCTGAGGAACTTTTAAAACTTGCTCATGCCTAGATTCTTCCCGAGAATGATTAAATCAGAATCTCTTAGAATGGGCCTCAGGCATCATTACTTTTTAAAATCATCTTAAATTATTCTTATGCAAGCTGCTGATTTTGAGAACCTCCGTTGGAGTGAGAAAAGGTAAATTTTGGCATCACATTGACCTGGGCATAAATTCCATAATTGCTACTTTACAAATTGTGTGACCTTGAGCAAGTTACTTAACCTCTCCAAATCTCTGTTTCCTCAACTCAAAACATTTAGCTTTTAATGCTTTTATAAGAATTAAATTAAATGTATGTACAAATGGGATAGTCAGCTCAGGTTAGTTTGACTTCCCCATGCCTCTTACACCACTAACGTCATGGGAGGCAAAAGGGAAGAAGGGAAGGAGGGTTGCATTTACCACATGACATGCATGACATGCTAAAAATTAGCCCCAAGTTGCATTTTCTCAATTTGAAGGGCAGTCATATAGAGATGTGGCTCTTGTGTTATGAATGCAGACACCAATAAATGCAATCATCATGCAGAACTGGTTTCTTATAAAACTAATAGGTTCCCAGAGCTCATAATAATTCCCGTCAACTGTGAAACCAAGTGTTTTCTCATTAATCAATGCCCTAGGAAAGTGTCAAGTGTTCCTATGCTTAGCAAGGTGGATTAGATTAGAGTCATAAGACAGCATTTTTATTGTCAAGGACATTGATGGTCATTGAATGTTAGGTCAGCTGTAACGACCAAAAGTCACTCTGTTCACAGTAATGGAGATGTTCAAAGTTTGGTAATAAGATGGGATGATAGTCGTAGCTTTTGTTGTTATTTTTATTTTAGTTGTGAAAAATCTTCTCCACCCTACAGGACATTTCAGGCTCCAAACTGGCATTTTTATCTTCATTCTCTAGTCTGAAAGAATCGGGGCAGCTGAATCTGAGAAATGTGCTTCTTTTTTCTTAGAAATATACAATCAGTTTGACACAGACTTACAAAGCTCTAATCTCTACACTCTACATCATATACATAATTGGTTGTATTTTACCAACCTTGAGGATGCACGCTTTTAATTTGTAATTATAGCTAAGAAGAGGATACTTGAGTTTATTTAAAATTGTTTGAGGAATATTGATTGCCAGAGGTTATACCTGTCAGACTAGACTCATCATTTGAGCACAGGTCAGTGTGTTGTGAATTGCATTAAAAACTTGTTTATTAAATAAACCATATTTCATTGGTTTTGTCTATATGCTTAAAAAGTAAATCCATGGGGCCAGCCCAGTGGCACAGTGGTTAAGTGTGCGTGTTCCTCTTCGGCAGCCCGGGGTTTGCCGGTTTGGATCCCGGGTGTGGACATGGCACCACTTGTCAAGCCATGCTGTGGTAGGTGTCCCACATATAAAGTAGAGGAAGATGGGCATGGATGTTAGCTCAGGGCCAGTCTTCCTCAAAAAAAAAAAAAAAACCCAAAAACAAAAAGCAAACAAACAAAAAAGTAAATCCAACTCCAGTAGTAAGAGGAATATCTAGTGATCCAATCATGGTTCCTAATACTGTTCTCCTATAAAAGGAACCAGAGCTCCTTGGCGAAATGGCTGATTCATGGACTCGGGCGGGAAATATACAAGACAAGCCTAAAGCATCTTGGAGCGCCAAAAGGTAAGGAAGTGTAAAAAACAAACCAAAACACACAATCATGGAGATATGTCAAAGGGACACGGCAGCCACAAGAAAGAGTTCTCAATGGCCAAAGAAGGAACATTATGAGTAGCAAAATAAATAAAATCATACCGGACTATAACCTAAAGTATAAAATGACTATCCATGAGTCCATATTGATATAAATAAATGAATGAATAAATAAAAAAATGGAGAACAAACAAATCTCCCATGCAGAAGGATTCCAAATAGTTTATATAGGTCCTCTGTCCTCAAGGAGGTAGAGCCAACTCCCCACTCCTTAAGTGTGGTTGTGCATAGCAACTTCCTCCCAAAGAATGCAGTATGGAAACAGGGGAAAGGGTTTTCATCAGGGTTCTCCAGAGAAACAGGACAAATAGGATACACAGAGATATGTAAGAGGAGATTTATTACAGGAATTGGCTCACGTGGTTATGAAGGCCAAGAAGTCCCATGATCTGCCATCTGCAAGCTGGAGAACGAGGAAAGCCAATGGTATAATTCAGTCCAAGGCTGAAGGCCTGAGAACCAGGGTAGCTGATGGTGTAGCTACCAGTCTGAGGCCAAAAACCTGAGAACTGGGAGCTGCTGGGATAAGCCCCAGAGCCCAAAGGCCCAAGAATCAGGAACTCTGATGTCCTAGGGCAGGAGAAGATGGATGTCCCAGCTCAAGAAGAGAGAGAGTATTTGCCCTTCCTCTGCCTTTTTCTTCTATTTGGGGCCTCAATGGATTGGATAATGCCCACCCTCATAGGCAAGGGCAGATCTTCTTTACTCAGTCTAACGATTCAAATACTGACCTCTTCTGGAAGCACCCTCCCAGACACACTCAGAAATAAAAATGTTTTACCAGCTGTCAGGGCATCCCTTAGCCCAGTCAAGTTGATGCATAAAAGTAGCCATCACAAAGAGTAGAAAAGTATGACAAACGCTACCTCAGCCAGCTGATCAAGGTCAACATCAACAGTGGTAAATTATGTTGATAGTATGTGCTCTTGCTATGAGGGGATGAAAATAGCATTTTACTTCTGTGGTCTTTCTCCCAGAAACCCGTAATCCCAGTCTAATCATGAGAAAAACATCAGACAATTCCTAATAGAGCGACATTCAACAAAACACCTGACCAGTACCCCTCAAAACTGTCAAGGTCATCAGAAACAAGAAACATTTTGAGAAACTGTCACAGTCAAAAGGAGCTCAAGGGGAAATGATGACTAAACATGACGTGACATGCTAGACAGCATACTGGAACGGAAAAAGGGCACAAGATAAACACAAAGGAAATCTGAACGTAAGTCTAGACTTCAGTGAATTATAGCACATCAATATTTGCTCATTAATTGTAACAAATGACAATAAAAAGATATTAATAACAGGGGAAACTGAGTGTGGGGAATATGGAAACTCTCTGTATCATCTTCAGTCTTTTTTGGTAAATCTAGAACTGTTCTAAAAAAATAAAATTTATTTTAAAAAAACAGATAAGACCATGTAATTTGTTCATTGTTGGAGTAAGCAAGAATTGGTTGAGTACCTACTCTACACCAGGGACTTTGGTACGTATTGACGTTAGAAAGATATATAAGATAGGAAGGAAGGAAGGGAGAAAACCGCGTCCTGGAAATTTGCTTTTCAGGATGTTAAAGTTGAGAAAGAGAGATAATAGCATGAATAAATAGTTAAAATACAACAATTAAAATAAATAGAGGAAAACAGAGGAGAATTATTTTTATAATTTTAGAAACGGGGATATCTTTACAAGCAAGTAATTAAACACAGAAGCATTAAAGAAAAGATTAAAACACATGGCTATATAAAAGGAAAATTCTTCAGGAAAACAAAAAATACCACAAACAACAAAAAAAGGACAAATACGAAAATGGGACAGAATTTACAAGTCATTTGACAAAAGGCTAGTTTCCCTAGTATAGAGAGAATTTTGACAAATCATTGGAAAAAAAGACCAACAACCAGACAGAAAAATGGGCAAAGCATGCAAAAAGGGATTGCCAATCAATTTTTTATAGTGAGAGAGCTATCGCTTGTTTTCATATGTGTGAAAAGAGATGTAACTTCACAATAAAGAAATGTACATAAAACAACAATAAAGAACCACTTTTAAAAGCCTATCAGATGAACAAAGAGCGAACATTTGCTAATATACTGAGACAGTAAGGATGCATAAAAACAGCCATCTCACATATTGTTTGGGGGAATGTAAAGTGAAATGTGTTCTTTGGAAGATAATTTAGTGATGTTTTAGCAGAAGCTGTTGGCACCCTGCCTACATCCTCGTGCCCCCTACATTTCAGGGTATCCTGGCCTTATTTCCAAAATTCATCATCGCCTACTGCAGTGTGTTCAAACACAGGACGGAGGGCATGCACTGCTTCATGCCATATATTTAGAATATGAGAGATAAGGGCATAATGGGGATGACAAGGACAGTGGAGTTGGCTAGTTGCTGTTAGTGTCATAGGTTTACTGAGGAAAAAAAAAATGACAGGCTCAACTATTAATCAGGACACAATGTGAAAGCCAGAAAGTTTCAAAGAACTGTTTATCATTCAAAAAACAGCTCTCAGTTTGCTCCTGGACCTGGTAGAAACTGAGGCTGATGGTGCAAACTCAAGTGACTATGTCACCAGAGCTGCTTATCCTGAGCTAGTTATTGGTAGATCCTCCAACTCATCAGGTTGAGTGGCACAGTAATAACCCGTCATACAATGAACAGTACATTTGTGATCAAGCCTGAGCACATCAGAGGGAACAACTAGATTACATGAACTGGCAGCCCAGCCCTTCATATGACCTAACTTGTTAAACCAGCGTCTCTCCCTCATGTCATGCCTATGGCTTCATGAAGAGTTCCTACAAGTAGTTGTCAGAGGACAATAAAACCCAGGTCTGATTCACAGATGGGTTGGCTCAATATTCATGTGAGCTGAAAATAGACTGCTTATGTAACACGGCTCCACTCAGGGCTGGTGACGAAAGATGTAGTGAGGGGAAATCCTCACTACTAGGGGCAGAACTTCAAACAACACAAATGGTATGAACTTGCGCAGATGGTCTGAGTGGGGCAGGATCAACTGTAGCAGGTGCTCTTGGTACATTGACCATATCCTCTCCCCCCTGCCCTTCAGTTCATGCTCGTCAGGCTTCCAGCTGCCAGCACTGCATTTCTTTCCTTCTCTGGCCAATGAAACCCACTTTACCTGCCAGTGAAACAGGTCGGAAGTGTTGGGGAATTAACACCTCTCAGGCAGTAGAATACAGGTGAGCAAGCGGGGGAGGAATATTCTATAACCGAGGTTACAGAGAATTCCCAGCACATCATGATGATAAAAGCAGAGTGACTTTTAGTCTATTTTGTTACTCTTTTAAAAAGATCTACATGCAGTCTCATTATTGCCAAACCCAAGGCAGAGCCTTCCCACTGTCCTGCCCTTGGATACCATGCTCCCAGGATCATACACGGCCCTCAGACTGTGATCAACCTGACAGGACAGGAGTCAGTGCACAAATAGCCTGGCTCCCTCAGCCCCTGAGTGGGATGTCTCTGAGCTTGCATCAATACTGGCTCCTAGAGTTTCCTCAGGATGGAGCCTTAGGCACCCAAACCAGTAACTGATGCATGAGTACACCCATTATTGGCTACTTTTCCTTCCCTGTCTCACTTTTCCACGCCCCTATTGGGTTCCTTCACCACCTAAATTAACTATTTGAATTTGGATCCTTGTTTCCGGGTCTACTTCTAAAGGAACCCAATTAAGGTGTGTATCTATAAAAATTCTAAATGCACTTACCCCTAGCCCCAAGAATTCTACTTCCAGGAATTCATCCTGAATATATACTCAGACATGTGCCCAAAGACATATGATCTTTATGATAACAGTAGTAAACACAGTTAAGTGCTGACTATATACTAGGCGTTAAAGTTCCCTCCTTGTAGTAATTCACTCAATCCGCAGAAAAATCGAATGGCATTACTGTCAAATCCCCATTTTACATGACAGGAAACTGGGGCATACAGAGATTAAATAACCTGATTAAAACTATAAGAGCTAGTAGTACAGAGCTAAGGTTCAAACCCAGGAAATCTGACTTCAGGGTCCATCCTCTTATCTGCTCTCTATAAACACAAGGCTAGTTATGGCAGCGCTGTTTGTAACAGCTAAAAACAGTCCAAATGTCCATCATAGGAGGATGGTTAAGGAAATTTTGCTATGTCATATTAAAATATCTAGAGCTATTAAAAATAATGTTTCTGTACTAATATAGACAGAAGTCCAAGAAATTATTAAGTGAAGAAAGCAAAGTGCAGAACACTATGGTTTTAGATAGGCTTTCAGTCTTGCAAAACCCAAGAGCTGTGTGTACATCCATGTTTCTGTGTGTGTTAACTATCACGAGAACACCTGTTGCCTTAGAAGAGGCCTGTGTGTCAAGCATAGAGGGAGACATACTTTACACTGTAAACCATTTTTTAGTGTTTTAATTCTTTAACATAAGTATACGTTACTCTTTCAAAAAGCTATGCCAAAGATATTGTGTAATCAAGATATATATGCATTGACATGGGAACACAGAGGAAGGAGCAATTCACTCTGCCTGGAAGAGTCTCAGAAGGCCCCATAAAATGTCCTAATGTATGGGTAAATGCAGGAGGAAGTCACTCCCTGCAGAAGCATATTTGAAGGTCCAGAAGTGTGAGAGCTCAGAGGATGCTGGGCAACTGTATACGGTCTAATGTGCAGAGTTGGCAGGAAATGAAGCTAGGAAGAGACTGCTATCAGATGGTCTGTAATACATTAATTCACAAGTGAAGTAAGATATTCAGGCCAACAATAGCTACTGGGCAAAGACGTTTTTACGGTAAGCTTTTTAAAATAGCTTTGAATGCCGTGTGTGTCACATAGGGCATTACAAAGAGGGAAAAGAAAATATTTCAAGTTAAAGAAGAATTCCTGTAAGGAATATTAGTTTTCATCATTCTTATTTATTGCAGAGGGCTTGGGTGGAAATATATTCATTACAAATCAGAGGACTGAACTGAAGTGCCCGCTTCACCGCTTACCAACTGAGCTCAATGTCTTCATCTGTAAACACAGATTGTAACAGTCCAAGCTTCACAGAATTACTGTGAGGTTCATTTGAGATAATTCCTGTAAAGCTATTGCATATTGCCTAGCATTTTAGCATGCACTCAGTAATTGCTACCTATGATGGTTGTCAATAAGTGCTAATAAATAACAATTTCAACATGATCATGACCTTATTGATCTTGCAAGGAACTGAAAACAGTGAAAAGAAGGCATTTCTCTAGGAAAATGAACGTCTGCAGTTTTAATCCAAAGGAATAGACCACGCTCAAAATGATCTCATTTGACTTTTCTGCTGCCAAACTCTAAATGACACTTGTGTTTTGCCTAAAGCCACATGGCTGACTGACAGTGTCACAGTTGTGGGATCTGTCAGCTCATTCCCAACACATGTGCCACGTCCTCTAGTCCAAGCAGTTACACCAGGATGCTGAACGATGGCTGGAACTATTTGACTGTGACTTTAAATGATATCTCAAAAACTCGGAACATTAGCTTTGCCCAAGCAAATACAATGATCTAAAACCACTAGACCTACTTTCACGTTTTAAAAATATTTCAACTATCCTTTCTGCAGAGAGTGCTCACAGCGGTGACATTTACAAAACAGAAGAAACAAATCAAACAAGCACTGGTTTAAAAAAAGTCTCTAAGCAATGTACTGCCAGCAGGATCCTAATTAACTATCACAAAAGCCACCAAAAAGAGGACGTCAAATTTATCATTCTAGATTGAAACCCAACGTGCTTAACCTGAACAAAATATCAGACCAGTATAACCATAGAGAGACATTCAAACAAGCTGGATTAGAGACATTGGTATCTCATATTTGAGTGACTCACTATATTCCTTTTTTAGTACCTATTTTCTGACTTTTCTCTTATACTCAGTCATACTCACCTGTGAAATTTCCCCCTCCATAATTACAGTGACAATTCTTAGTTTCCAAATCAAAACTTAGAGCACTTATTTTGATAACATCAAACAGTCTTATGGGACCAAGGGAACAGATTATCTTAAGAGTGTTTTCTCCCTACATTCTGGAAATCTGATAGTATCCATGTGACAGTTATAGAAATATTTTTCTTCTCTGCATCCTGATCTTCTCTCCCTTAAAATGGGACATATTAAGCTTTGAATTCAAAGTACGTACTTGTGGAGGTGTGAGTTTTGTGAAAGGAGGGGAAAAAATAAACTAGGAGAAGACAAGAATTGTAGGATGGCAGAAACTGAGTACATTGTACAGAGGAGGGGAGAGAGGGCAATAGGACCCTGTATAATGGAGTGTATTAGCCAGTTTTATCAAAAGTTTAGGTGAGGTTAGATTTAATGAAACTGCAAAACTCAGAGAGGAAATAGTGTGATAGCTTAAATGGAAATGACAATTTTGTTTGTTTTTGATTGCACAATGAATAAAAGGGCCTCAGATAAATAACGTT